GGAATTCTGCACTCAATGTTGCATGATCCACACTGTGAGGATTCAAATTTTGATTAAAAAAAAACACAAATTCATAGCCCACCAGTACGCCAAGCGGCATCCTTACTTTAAGAAGAAATGACTTTGTTGTTGTTAGGTGAGTCGAGGCAATCACCGCGATTCAAGCAAAAGTAATCCAAACAAAAGCAAGGTGTCAAGTTCTGAAATAACAGTCACAGGATATAAAAATTTACTGTGGGAAGTAATCGGTGTACAGCTGGAATAGCGACACAAACACAACGCTCTGATCATTTCAAAGTTCACTTCGACACCACATATCGCAATGGCTGCGGTTGTCCACATGAGATATTCACAATGCCATCCTCAAAAGGCAACTTTAGAAAAGCGTGTAAAGTGCAGAAGGTGCGAGAACGACACCTCAACCGCAATGATCGTCTGCAGCGTAGCAACTCGCATAGACTCATTCAACGGTTATTAGACAACTTCATCATGGACTTTGCCAACCTCAGCTACACCCAGCAAACAACTTTTAAGCATTAATAAATAAACCAAATTCGGGAATACAAACTAATGAGCACTACAAATTGGCATTTCAAAGTCTCACAGCCTCAATGACTGGAGGATGACAATTGCAACAAGCTTGAACGAGCGGCGTTTAGTCGTGAACTCACTGTTACCCATCGGGTGAGTCAAGTTTGACCTTACACCCTGCATGGCGTTGGTCAAATCGACATCGTGACCACTTTGCAACCCGTCATACACACCAAACTGCCTTTGGTAAGCAAAATAACTCTATGCGTAACGAAATTGACGGAGAGGAGAGGGAAGAGCTTATTGTCACCGACTGGGGTACTACGAAGCAAAACACCAACTTTTGTGATATCTGCGGCAAAATGCAGTAGGGGCGATGTCTTAAAAAAACTAATAACAATGTATCAAGCCGAAAACAGATTAATGTTAGATTTTAGTGCCAAGTTCAATGGGGGAAAAAGACAAACCTCTAAATTTTCGCGAGACATCCGCTCGTAAACGCGTACATATTGAAGCAAACGTCTTTTCCCCACGTCGCTTTGACGGGGTCGCCAAAAATGCAGACGAAGGTGGCATCGGTGTTGACTGCCCCACCCTTGATGCTGATGACTGCTGTGTTACTGTCTGTATAACGCCTCTTGATCCCTGTCTTCGATGCAGTTTGCATTCTACTTCTGGACTCCGTGTTGGCGGTGGATGCAACACGAGGGACTCACTAGCCTCTGAAATGGTTTCAGGAAAGCGGCCCGGAATGGTAGTGGATGTGGGATGGGATGACGTGACGACGACGTCACCTGTGGCCAATTCACCCTTGTCATTATTTTCAGGAGTAGAGAACTAATAAGGAGAAAGCAATCACCTAAAGCTTGACAATTCACTTCATTGCTCATTATCAAGAAAAATGTTTTAGGAAAAGGAAGTGTAACCGATTCGGTAGAAGCACTAAAACCCTAATTACTCAGGTCACTTACCCAGGACTGCCAAATTTTGTTTACATTCAACAAAGCAAATATATAAATTGCATGTGAGTTCCAGGTAAGCTGATGCTTGTAGGCTCGCGTAACAGTGTAGATCAAAAACACCATCAGAATTAGGGAAGTCATAAGTCCGCACATCGTTCCCATCTTCTGTTTAAAAAATCCACATCTCATAAAGTGAAGAAAATTTGCGTTAAACGATCCGAAAGGCAGTTGTGTCAAAGAGGCGAAAGGATGATAGATTACAATCGACAGACGACATTAGCGAGTTGGATGAAGACACGGAACACAAACGAGGTTTTGGAGGACAAGGCATGACAAGAAATTGTTCATTCATTCGTTTCTCGCCTCTTCGTACCATGCACATCTCCTCCTTACATGCACCCTTGCCTCCATCACCGGTGACTCGCACTCGGACTGCATCTCTTCTCCCTCCTCCCCTGTGCCACAACCAAACCAACACATCACACCGCCTCCCACACCTCCCACCTCCACCACCGCCACCACCACCACCACCAGGGTTGGAGGGAGGAGGCACGAGGAAAGTGGGCTCGATGGTCGCACA